GAACGCATCACATGGCCTTCAACCGGAAATTCAAGCCTACTGGATTAAACTCTCGAAGAAATACAATCTATATCCACACATCCGATTCAACACAAAAGTATTGTCTGCCGAGTGGGATGATGCCAAACAACAGTACAACATCATCGTGGAAGATGTATCTTCAGGCAAGAGAATGTCGAGCGTAGCCAACGTCGTGATATCTGCCGCTGGTATCTTGCAGGTCCCAAAGATTCCATATGAGATCCCTGGAGTTCGCAAGTTTCAGGGGACATCGTTTCATTCCGCACAGTGGCCAGGCTCAATAAATCTGCAAAACAAGCGTGTTGCAGTGATTGGAAATGCCTCCTCCGGGTGAGTCACGACGACTTCTGTGCAGGTAATTGGTAGTGACATACAACAAGAGCACAGTTCGTGCCATCTATATCTGAAGACCCGTCCGTCGAAGTAGTTAACTTCATCCGCACCCCGACCTGGTTTAATACCCGAGTGAGTTTCTTTGTATCATGGTCGATGATTCAGCAACAAAACAAAACATCTAAGCCACGCATTCCATACTCGAACACTATGAAATGGATATTTGCTAACATCCCCCTGGTAATGCGACTGCACCGAACTTGGATTATGCTCCAGGTCAGGCCTCCTGCACTACAGAATGTTAGCTTGCTGACGTTTGTTACAGTATATTGCTCCCCCTCATCTACCCGTGGGTGACAGGGCTCTCCAGAAAAAACGTGACGTGAGCAGGGACCCCGAGACCGGGTATTCGGTCTAACGTTTCTACTTAGGCGATGACGAAATACATCCTCGATAACACACCGGATAGATACCATTCTCATATGGTACCTGATCATCGTACGTGTCTGATCAAGGAGATTTATTTATGCTCACATGTTTCGCAGCCCCAGGTTGCAAGCGGACTGGTTCGTCGGCAGTAGTGAAACTGACTCGTTATTCTCTTTCTCATTTCATTACATGCAGTCGCGAACAGTGGTTTCCTGAAAAGTATCTGTCGTTCTAACGTGACACTGAACTTCGACGGAGTCGCCGAGATAGTGGAAAATGGCATCATCACAAACACTGGTGTGTGAGCCGTCAATGGCGTCATCACTTTCCTCATATAATTTAGGTGAAATGTTACTATTTGATGTCATTGTATACGCGACCGGATTCACCTGCGTAAGTTGCAATACACGATGGAACATTCTATTCGATGCCAAATGCAGAAACAGGAGTCGTATCCGATACACGTTCGAGGCTTGAATGGAGCCACTGTCCAAGGCTATTATGAGGCGCATGGTGGCCCTACTGCATACCTCGGGACTGCAATTCCAGACTCACCAAACTTTTACTTGATAATTGGTGGGTTTTGATGCCAGCGTGTCGCCATCAACTGTAGCCTGAGGTCATAATCACAGGACCAAATACTGGAGGACCAACAGCGTCGACGTTCACCGCAGAAGTGCAAGTAAGTACACCTTTATTTTTTTTATGTTTCTACTCAAGTTTGTCTCAAGGTTGCATACGTCCTCCAACTCATAGAGCCGGTCCTTACTGGTTCTGCCTCATCTTTCACCGTCAAAGCCACACCCACAGATACATACAACGCCAAGCTACAAGAACGGCTCTCTCGCTCGGTGCATGTACACTGCTTCTCTTGGAGGCGTACGAACGGTACAGGCAAGGTGTTCCATTCGTTTCCTTGGCCTACGACAGTTTTCTTGTGGTTACTTCGTAAACCAAATTGGGATCATTACACGGCTGTCGGCGCCGAGAAATGGGTATGGGCAAGGCGAAGAAAGGCTGTTAAGAATATTCTGAAATGTACTGCAGTCTTGACGCTACTGTGGTCATACATCAGCGGCTCTGCTCAGCGGATTTTATACGACATGTAGTGAGTCCATCGTCGTTCTCGATGCCTGTCAATTGAACGATCTCTCTTCAAGCAAGCGGCTACCATGACTTATAGCTACTTGAGTAAATTTTCCCCCCGTCTTTGAGGCGCCCATAGTCTACGAGACATATTATACTTATGTGAAGTAGAAACTGGACGGCTTATCTCCTTTTTCTTCTTGCCAGTTGAAGCCTCGAACGAGCGACTGCCACTGGTCGTGGTAGAATTGAACTGAAATGACATGGGTCCTTCAGATAATGGGTTTTCACACTACTAGAGGATTCGGAGCCGGGTTCAACGTCGGTCCTGGTGTATGTTGTCCGATATCCTACCTCCAATCGAGTCAGGGTTACACTAGCATCAAAACTTGAGATCTTTGCAAAACGATGCTTGAGAGCGCCTCTTTTGATCACATCGCAGGTTGCCACCTGCATGTCCCCTCGCGAATGAAAAGATCACAGATTAAGTGAGATTATCAATAGTAGTGATAGTATTTGCCTCGCAAGTTGAACGTGGAGGTGAAGCTGACTCGCGCGGAGTGTAAGCGCTTCTAGACCAGACTTCGTGGCGGCAACAAAACTCGATAATTTTTGCTCCATAATTAAATTCGGTACTTTGATTATCGCGGAACACCAAAATGCAGTAAGTAGTAGGTCCATTGAGAACACGCAGCAAGTCAGCCGTGGTGAACGTGTTGTGTTATTTGTTTCGTGGGCTTTTGCGACAATTTGAGCCACAAGTAGTATATTACGGGAAATAATTGGGAAATAACATGGGAAAGTGATCAGAATCGATGGATAGAATTCGAAAATCGCCAGTGTTAGCAGCGAGCAGCTAAAGTAAACGATTAGAGGACAACGACACAACATAGATGGGAAGAGTACGAAGATGACTTTTGGATATGTGATGCACCATGGTTCAAAGTTGATGTGTTCATGACAGCTTTCGAGGCAACATAACTACATCAGTAAATTCACAAATTGCTTATTTCCTTTTAAGCTCTTATTTTTCCCACCCAAGAGCGGACAAGAACCAGAACGCCCCCTTGTCACAAGGAGCAACAAGCTGCCAAGAAGATCCCTTCCTCTTGATTTGAACATTTTTGCACTTTTTGCACTTGTTTTTAGAATGAGCTACATTACAATCCCCTTATGTCGCACTTATTTTTAGCTTGTTCACACTATATACACTTGTTATGAGGAAAAACAATTGCATTTCAACCGGACAAGAGGATTAAGTAGATAAAAAGTTAAACAAGGAGAAAAATAAGTACTAGCAAGTAGATGAATAACAAGCATGACAAAGCAAATGGAGGCGGCAACGAGACAGCATGTAAAAAAGACGAGGGAACATAGCATGAATAACCTTGAAGGTACTAGTAGCATCGAAGCTCATAGTCAGTTGCAAAATAAACTACAAGAGTGAAGGACATTACCTCTAGAAAATGAGCGCTCGCTCATCCCCAGATTCTTCGTCCACATCCATCTGCATGCTGCCACACCTCTTCATGGTGAGGCTCTGTGCGAGCTCAGAGTTTTGGATAAGGACCGATGTAGAGACTCATGCCTCTCATGGCCTGATATGGCAGTTTTCACTAGGGAGTACATAGCACGAACTTGTAGTGTCACTCTGTGCACTACCCGCAGCTATCTCTATATGAGGTGCAGCTTTCCCATGCAATGCACGCCATGCGCGCACACTTCCCGCGCTTCACGATGTATATGCGCGTGCGCTGTAGAAACAACGATACTGAGAGGAACAATTGAATGCTCCTGACTGTATCTATAAAATGTTGTAGGTCGTGCATTGCCTAGTCTGCATTACTTGAGGAGACAAGCACATTCGACCCTAAAGGGAAGTGAGTGCAGCAAAGATCTAGAGGTACGCACTGAAGCGAGGCGCGAGAAAGCGCAGGTGCGCGCAAGGTACGAAGGCGCGGGAACGCGCGCGCGCGTGTGTGGAAATGAGAAAGAGTAAGCTTAAGTGAGGATAAGATGTAAGACAAGTGAAGAGAGGTGCAAAGTGCAGACAAATAGATTTCTACTATGTTCAGCTAGGTAAATAGTGGGTGGTACTCAAGTCAAAAGTAAAGTTGGGTGAAAAGTAAGTTCCTAATAGTATGTACTGCTGGCGCTTATATAGCGCGCCTAAGCGCGGTCATGCGGAGCCGAAGCGCTACCGAGTAGGTATGTAAGGATATATATGGGTGCGAGTCCATGATAAAAATAAAGGTGGAACACTATGCTAATAAAGGAAATGGAAATATACGCACTAGGGAGCTTGGTGGACAGTGGATGGATGCATCTGGATGGCTGGCGCTATAGGGCGCGCAAGCACGGGAATGGTGCGCGGGAAAGCTGCACCTCATATAGGAATTGCTGTGGACAGTACACAGAGTGGTGCTGCGAGTTGGTGCTGTATACTCCCTTAGTGGAAACTGCCATATCACGCCATGAGAGGCATGAGTCTCTACAGCGCTTTCCCACGCTTGATCGCCCTATAGCGCCAGCCATCCAGGAGCATCCATCCACTGTCCACCAAGCTCTCTTGTGCGTGTATTTCTGTTTCCCTTATTTGCATATCATTCCACCTTTATTTTTATCATGGACCCTTACTTATATATATCTTTACATACTAGACCTTACTCGGTAGTGCTTCAGCTCTGCATGACAGCGCTTAGGTACCGTATATAAGCGCCAGCATTACCTTACCACTCCTCACCTTACCTTACTTCACCTCTCACTTTACCTACTACCTACTACCTAGAAAGTTGCAGTAGAAATCTATTCCTTTACATCTAGCACTCTGATCTCTTATCTTGCATCATATTATCACTTAAGCTTATTCTCTCTCATTTCCACATACCTGCGTGCACTTTCCCATGCTTCGCGCAGCACACGCGTGCATTCCCATGCCTTTGTGCCTTGTGTGCACCTGCGCTTTCTCGCGCTTTGCTTCAGCGCCTACTTCTAGATCCTTGCTGCACTCGCTTCCCCTTTAGGGTCGAACACACTTGTTGTCTCAAGTATAGCAGACTAGGCAATGCGCGACCTACAACATTTATAGATACAGTCAGGAGCCTTGTTCACGCCTCACAGTATAGTTGTTTCTACACTGAGTCTGGCAAGCATGTGATAGATACCATGTAAGCCCTCGTGTGCGCACCCCAATTGGCTTCTGAAAATGCCAAGGGGATGCTGCTCTGGTTGCCTGTGGATGGATTGATGTCGAGCAGGGTCTTGTTGCCTCGACCATTGCCAGAGGTGTCGATGTCTCCTAGGAGCATGTGTCCATTGACGAAAAGCCTGATGGTGCGTTCCATCTGAAATACAGGGTAAGTTAAGTCAGCTGTATGAGAGGGTAGAAAACATGTGCTGCTGCTGTGGCAAGACTAAGAGCGCCCCTTGAGTGCCCCGGCACTGTATCATTTGTTCCCGGCAGGTTGACAGCACTGGACGTGGCACACTTGTGCTGCACAAGGACCTGTACAATGAGGTCAGACTGGAATGGGTTGGACACCTCTCCGTCCACTGTGATGTCCCCAAATAAGAAGCTGAACTTTTCGAGTAAGGCTGATGCAAAATCTTTGCGGTCCTCATCAGTCTTGAGATCATCTTGCGAAGTCATGAAGTTTGTGAGTATGGCGAGAGCCACATTGCTAAAGGTATTGTGCCACTCTGACAACCGCTGGAGGGTCTAAAAAAAGAAATGACAGATTTAAATCATGTTTGAAAAAAAAACGTACAACGGCAAGGACAGGCCCATCAGCTTCAACCGTGTGTGGAATCTTGCCTTTGTAGACTGCATTCCAGACTGACTGCAAGATAGGATAGACAACATCATCTGCAAGGGTCCATACTTCATCTAGATCGCTGATGCAGCGAATGACGGTAGGGATGAACTGTCATGCCCACTTGTTTCCCACCTGACAACCCTTAGGAAGATGCTTCTTCCTGTATGTAGAGCGTACAATTGGCTTGGAGGGAGTGGAGGACTCAGACTTCAGCCACTTTGCTGGAGGGGCTTTGAGCATGGCAGCAACATTAGTCTAATATCTTGTAATCAGTAAAATGTAGTATGAGACACCAAAACTTACTGTAGAGGTCACCCGGCGCGTGAACACTGGGTTAACAGGTTTGGTCTTCACATCTTCATTGGCACCCTGCACACTTTTGGCCTCGGATGACAGCTCCATTATGTCATCATAGTCCAGAGGAGGTGACAGCTTCCACTTCTGACTCGCCAGGGAGTCAAAATCCATTGGGGGGGTGGAGTGGGACCTAGGTTTTTGGGCGAGGGGAAGAGGTTCAAGGTCAGAATCACGGTCCAAGGACTGTAGCTCGTGATTGGCATCATCATTGGCCTTATACTCCCTTAGGAAATCAGGTTGTGTAGCAGGGCCGGTGCCATCAGAATCTATAAAGTGGCTGCGGATGTCTGTGAAGATATCAATGTTGTCCACATCTTCAATCGAATCAGACTGTTCAGTTGCACTGCGACAGGTAACATCTGAAGGGACTACACCATCAAGAGCTTTGGGAACAATCACAATACCCTGCAGCTGTGGTTCAAACTACGTAGAATTTAAATATAGATAGAATCAGACTCACTGCATATGTAAGCCTTGTTGCTTGTAATATGAGAAAGAGGTTTTGCGAGCTCCTCGTCATCCTCGTCCTCATCAGATGCATACATATTGAACTCTGTAAAGCCTCCAGCATTTGAGGTACTGATGGGTGTGAGTGGGGGCAGAACATTGCTGCTGATGGTGCTTCCCTTTGTGAGCTTAGAGTAACTGGTCCGTGGATGAATGGAAGATGTAGAAGGATTCACCCTCAATGATGCAGCTGGCTTTGGGGCAGTCGTGGGAAGATTCGACAGCCACCCTGGGACACGTCCAGCAAGTGCAAATTTTTGGGAACTTGTAGCATCAGAATCATATGTGGTGATATCGAGAAAAAAAAGAGTAGTTTCAGTCAAAAGAAGCATCATCATAGTTACTGATAGATAAACTCACACATCAGACATCTTCTGAACTTCTCCATCACGTGCCTTTGTTGAGTCGATAACGATGCCAGCATTTAATACTGCTTGAATTGCTTCTCTCACCACCAGTTTCTTCTTCTTTTTGGTTTGGACTGGCTCCCCATCCTCATGCTCACTTGCAGGATTTTTGATGCTAGCATCAGCTGCTAACTTCTTAGCTCCACCCCTGTGACCCCTGCCTTTGGTGACAAGAGGCTTATTGGTGACGATTTTTGCTCCTGCCTGCCTATCATCCATAGTCGAGTCAGAGGTCTTCAAGTCCTTTGCAGCCTTCCCCACCAGGCATGCATGAGGACGCTTAGGCTTAGGTGCGTCAACACACATAGCATCTTGGTCAGCCTGCATCTGTGCCTGCAAAGTAGCAATATGCTGATAACTTTCTTGTACAGCTTTTTCACTTGCCTCCTTTGCCTCCCTTTCACGTTGGTCGTCAGCGGCCTTTTCAGCAGTGGTACGCTTCTTTCCATGACTATTGATTAAAATGTGCCTGGGATGCTGAGTTGCATTCTTAGGTCGAGTCCCCATGCATGTTGTAACTGTGTCAGGTTGAGACATTCTATCAATAGACGGTTTTGTAGGCTGATGAAAATTGAAGGCAGTAGGTTACCAAGTTGAAGGTGAGTTTCGTCACTCTAAAATTTGTAGCCAAAGCTGATTCTGAATAATATTTCTTAACATATTGAGGGTCTATTGCAACATCTGGAGCATCAATATTCACCAGCACTTTTCGGCACAATGTGCTCAACAAAATGACATGTCCTGGATTGAAATACCTTAAGTATGGTGAGTATCAATGTTTACCAGAATCTTTCCGGTGATATAATGACGTCTAATAGCCTAGGGAATGTTCACCAGAACCTTTCCTGTGGTGGGGTGACCGTTGTAGAAACAACAATACTGTGAGGAACAAATGAAGCTCCTGACTGTATCTAAAAAATGTTGTAGGTCATGCGTTGCCTAGTCTGCATTACTTGAGGAGACAAGTGCATTCGACCCTAAAGGGGAAGCGAGTGCAGCGAAGATCTAGAGGTACGCGCTGAAGCGAGGTGCAAGAAAGCATGCAGGTGCGCGCAAGGCGCGGGAACACACGCGCGTATTAGCGCGAAGCGTGGGAAAGCACGTGCGGAAATGATAGAGAGACTAAGCTTAAGTGATAATATAATGCAAGATAAGTGAAGAGAGATGCGAAGTGTAGAGGAATAGATTTCTACTGCGACTTTCTAGGTTAGTAAGTAGTAGGTAAAGTGAGAGGTGAAGTTCAGTGGTAAAAAAAGTGTCTCTAGTAGTATGTACTGCTGGCGCTTATATAGTGCGCCTAAGTGCTGTAATGTGGAGCCGAAGCGCTACCGAGTAGGTATGTAGAGATATATATAAGTAAGGGTCCATGATAAAAATAAGGTGGAATAATATACAATGAGAGAAACGGAAATATATGCACTAGAGAACTTGGAGGACAGTGGATGGATGCATCTGGATGGCTGGCACTATAGGGCGCTCAAGCGCGGGAATGATGCGCGCATGGCGCGCGTTGCGCGGGAAAGCTGCGCCTCATATAGGGATAGCTGCAGACTGCACACAGAGTGGTGCTGCAAGTTGGTGCTATATACTCCTTGGTGAAAACTGCCATATTACGCCATGAGAGGCATGAGTCTCTACACCGTCATCAATGTTCACCAGAACTTTTCTGGTGGTGCGATGACATAACTGTCCATTTTAACAAACCTTTCTATGGTAGTGCACATTTTCGTTCCAACGGCACCTTTGAAAGGGTAATTTTTTCTTCAATAGTAGCGGCTGGTTTTAAACCTTCACTAGGTCCATATGTTGCATCAACACTACTCATATGATGTGCAGAAACCAGCCTACTCACTGTGCCCTTCAGTTTCCATGCCTATCTCCAGGCTGTATGTGCTGGTTTCGAAACATCTCTGGCTGCACTCAACACATGCATGCGTCCCATCCAATTGCACCTGCTCTGGATCTTCCCCAACCGCAACAGCTTCCATCTCCACCTCAGTCGCCTCCTCCTGATTTCCTGCCACCCCCTCCTGATTTCTCGTCACCCCCTCCTGATTTCTCGCCTCCCCAATCACCACCTGGTCCAATGGCTGACGAGGAGGATCCAGACTCAGAATTCACTGATGTGAGTGAGTGTTACTATCATATGTATCACTCGCTCCTCAATGGTAAGTACCTTTCAATCTACGCTTTTCACGTGTTCTGATTCTGACACGCTCTTAGGATAACCATGTGCAGCTGACGGCGTGTTTCTGCCCCCTGGCACACCACCAACTCCTGTCCCACCGAAGTCTCCTCACGACTGGAGCCCGTATCGTAACAATATCAAATTTGCAACGGCAGAGTTTGTTTTCAAACAAAGCCATATGTCTAACAAAGCTACAGACTTATTACTCGACTTAATGGCTGTGCAGCTGTTAAAACACAATGACCACCCTCCATTTGCAGATCACAAGGATTTGCACAAGGTCATCGACGCCACACAACTTGGCAATGTCTCTTGGTTCAATACACAGGGGAACACCCTGAACATGATGCTCCTCCATGGATGGACAGAGAATACGAGGTCTGGTACAGAGACCACTGCATGATGGCACATAACATGTTAGCGAACCCTACCTACAAGGGTGAGATTGACTATGCGCCATTTTGGGAGTATGATGCATTGGACAATACACGCCGATGGAGAGACTTTATGTCTGCGGACTGGGCATGGCAACAAGCTGTACATATTTCATGTATTCCTTGTGACTTGGGGTATCCTGACATCCACTAGGACAAGATATCGAAGGATCCAAACACACATGGATTGATGTTTGTTCCAATAATTCTTGGTAGCGACAAGACCACCGTTTCTGTGGGCACAGGTAATAATGAATATTACCCCCTGTATGCCTCAATCGGCAATGTGCACAACAATGTGCAATGCTCTCGTCATCATCGGTTTCCTGGCTATACCTAAAAGTATGTGTATTAAAATTTAAAATTATATTCTTTATCTGAGCTATGTCGCAGCTGATAGGCAACATGCTCATGACAATTCATTTTGTGTATTTCACCGGCAGCTTTTTCACCATTCACTATCTGCAATTCTATCTACCCTGAAGCCTGTGATGACTGAGTACAAAGTCCTGCATTGTGCAGATGGTCACTTTCGACGTGTTATATTTGGCCTGGGACCCTACATAGCCGACTATGAGGAGCAACTGGTGCTGTCCTGTACCGTTAAAAATTGGTGCCCAAAGTGTGTTTTAAGTCGCACTCAGCATCAATGTTTACTGACAATGTTTGTAGATGCCTTGCAAGTCGGGGAGATCTCGATGGTGGTGGTCTCTTATGCTGTCGAGAGCATACAGATGTCCTCATACATGAAAGTATCCACCCGGATACATTGTGGCATGAATATGTTATCATAAGCGTTCTCATCATGAGTGATCCACCCACTCTCAAACTATACACTAATCTATTTTGTACAGCCATTCACAAATGATTTCCCCTGAGCCGACATCCATCAATTAATATCATTCGATCTCCTCCACCAGCTAGTCAAAGGCGCCTTCAAGGATCATTTGGTGGATTGGGTAGTAAAGTACCTTAGACTTGAGCATGGGACCAAATGAGGAGACGAGATCATGAGCGACATAGATCGAAGGTATACTACCTCACTCATTAATCTGGCGTTTTCTAACCTTGAGTCAGAATTGCTGTTGTGGTGCCATTCGCTGGTCTACGGCGATTTCCTGACGGCTGCGGCTTTAAACAATGGACAGGTAATGATTCCAAAGCCCTTATGAAGGTCTTCATTCTGGCTATTGAAGGCCACGTACCTCAAGACATGGTGCGTGCATTTCGTGCGCTTTTAGAATTTTGTTATATCGCACAACACAACGTAATTACTGAAGCCTCTCTGGATCAACTCAAAGATGCACTTGCTCAGTTTCACCACTACTGCCAGATCTTCGAAACCATGGGCACAGTCCCTCACTTCTTGTTACCCTGCCAGCACTCAATGACCCACTATGCGGACATGATCCGACTGTTTGGTGTGCTGAACGGATTGTGCTCGTCGATCACAGAATCCAAGCACATTAAGGCCGTGAAACAATCTTGGAGGTGGTCTAGCAAGCATAACACCATTGGCCAAATGCTTTTGGCTAACCAACACCTCGACAAACTCGCAGCATCTCACGTAGACTTCACTGCTCGTGGGATGCTCGTTGGCTCTGTATTATCAAGAGCTGTGGCCGCTCTGCATAAGTTTTTGTATCTAATCTTATCATTTTGCATACTCAATATGCAGCTGTCGTCCTTGAAGATAATCCAGATGCCCCTGCTATCATGCCACAGGCAGAAGATGATGTTGATGATGGTGAAGTTGTTGATGGCCCGACTGTACAGCTCTCGTTTGTAAAGCTTGCAAGGTCTCCTCGTAAGTGATTCTCTAATGTGTCGGTTTTAATACTCACCAAGGTTTTTCTTAGAACCAACATGGGCACAGACTGTACCAGAACTAGCAGGCGAGGTCAATGTACCATACCTGCGACACCTTATCCGTCATTTTCTGTTTTCACAACTCTTTCGCAATGATCATCGCAACCCTGAAGATGTCCCTGCTGCTAGCTACCCTCGATATAATGGTAGACTTCATGTCTTTAATTCTGCTGCTGCGACTTTTTATGCGCCAAGTGATCCCAGTGGCATTGGTGGCATGTGATGAGAACAGATCCGCGCATGTCCATCCTGGCGGAATGTCTATGCCCGTAATGATTGCGTGTTTGTCAACACCAATTCAGACCTTGAAGGGATGAAAGGGCTCGAAGTTGCCAGAGTCAGATGTTTTTTTTTTCCTTTAGATATAATTGGGCCGCCATGTATCCATGCGCTCTTGTTCATTGGTTTGATAAGGTTGGTGACTCTGCTGACGAGGATACTGGCATGTGGATAGTCCATCCAAGTGTTCGTGACGATGGCACCCCAAACCTCACTGTTATTCATATCGACAGCGTTTACTGTGCAGCGCACTTAATCCCTGTCTATGGTGTCTTCTTAGATAGATGATCTATAGATAAACACCTATAAAAACAAATATCTCCACGGTCAGCGATTCAGACAAATACCAATGACTGATAATGTGGTCGTTCGTGGGTGGCTAGTTGTATACTACCCAAGGTATGTTCAGCTAAGGATACTTCTGCAAGATCAGTAATACAATGGTCAATCCAATCTTTGGACTTGACAGGAAAACAAACAAACAATGGTCAGCCCGACAGTATGGCAATGACCAAAAGAATATACGGGATTCTTCCTCAAGTTCCCTTTCAACAACAGTGCTTCGTACCAACTATACTCCAAAAGAAATGGTGCGGAATTACAATGATAAACTTCCTCAGCACAGAACAGGTAGAATCAAAGGTCAAGACTAGTCAAAATGCTTTATTGTAGAACTCTTAGCTCAATATTGAACCTGCTGTCAAGGAACTCTTCTTTGAGTATTCAAACAGACTCAGGAACGGACATCCTTGGGTTTACTACCAAGTCCCCTCTTCAACGGCTAAAGCCTAGCAAGCACAGAATATCTTGGCTCAGTATCGCTACTCAGATGAGTGAGGTCAAGCTTCACTATCAATTCCTAAAGTCTCCCCACTATGCTACTTCTGAGTCTTAGGTGGACGTAGAGACAACACGAATATTTTGGAAATATATTTCTGGACAAAGAACACCAAAGGTCAGTGAAAGTAAAAGAAAAGAAAAAGAATAATAGAAATCAGAATAAAAGTGTGGCTGTACCTTGCTTGCTGGTTGTTGCACACAGTGAGCTCACAGCGGGTCGTTCAGTATGATGAGCTTGCAGTATTACTGTCTCTTGAGAGAGTTCCTCTCAGTCTTGAAACAGTTCTTGACACTGGTACTGACACTTATCACACCTTACTTCACAACTTAGTGTTAGTTGGGCTGAGAAACACCCTACTACCTGCTGGTATCTGCTCCTTATTATTTCAAAAACTGGGGTCATTATATACACAATAAGTGTGGCTGTGCTACTAGTGTATTCAAGAGTCATTAAGAGTCATAATGAGTCATATGTGCAAGGTGAGTCATAGTGAGTCATAGTAAGTATTTTAGAGTGAGTCATAGTGAGTCATATATTCAGAGGGAGTCATAGTGAGTCATTGGGTATTTTGCTAAGTCATGTGACCTGTCCAACCCCTGATGACAAATCCAGAAAGAGAGTAAGAAGTGTCACATGATATGAATCCTGTGTGTGGCTGTCTTTGCTTTGCTTTGTTTGAAGGGTGAGAATGACGCGAGCCTAGTATTTAGGGGTTTACTAATGTTTTTCCAGGACAACATATGTGGGAAATATTTTTCACAGTCACCTGACATGTGTGGGATTTTGTCTGAGTCATCACCATGGCTGACTAAGCAAAACTCATCGCAGAATTAAATGTACTAAAATATTCAGGCTGCTGGCATATAGACTTGAAAAAGAAAAAGAAAAGCAAAAAATATTCCCTTAGCCTCAGTCCAACTTCAGATAAAAGGGAAAAGGGTTTCATAGTGGTATTTCAGGGTATATGACTCATGAGAGAGTATTGGTCGTCCATGCACCAAACCAGTTTGGTGCAGGTCAACGGTCCCGATTTCATTCCTAAGGACATTGAGTATTTTCATTCTTATGATGCTTTCTGCTTATTCTATGTCAATAAATATGCCGATCACCATGCATTCGAGACAGTGTCTTGATCCCCCTTCCTATGGAAAAACAGTAAGTCTTAATCTCCTCCAAATACCACCAACTCAAAGTCCTGGAGCTAGGATTGACCTCCACGTCCAATTACCACTAACTCAAGCACACATAATTTGGTGGTCCACCTCCACCTTACGAAGATCATGACTTTATAGGTCCCTCCTTGGTGGGTCTGCAACAGCAGCTTCTGCTGAACAAGACATACTGACCAGTTATTCTCATCAGCAGCAACAACCACAGCCATCTCCCCCTGGTCCATTGCCAGTCCCAACCAAACCCGAGGGTAAGTCCCTCCTTGGCGGGTCTGCAACAGCAGCTTCTGCTAAACAAGACATACTGACCAGTTATTCTCATCAGCAGCAACAACCACAGCCATCTCCCCCTGGTCCATTGCCAGTCCCAACCAAACCCAAGGGTAAGTCCCTCCTTGGCGGGTCTGCAACAGCAGCTTCTGCTGAACAAGACATACTGACAAGTTATTCTCGTCAGCAGCAACAACCACAGCCATCTCCCTCTGGTCCATTCTCAGTCCCTCCTTGGCAGGTCTGCAACAGCAGTGTTAAGAGTTCTGCCTCAGAAGTAAAGTACCTGTGCCCATACTGCTAATGAATAGCGCCGCTTATCCTTTTGCGCGATAGCGTGGTGTGAGCTTGCCACCCGCTCCCGGTTGTCCACCTCCACCTTATGAAGATCACGACTTTGTACAACCTCATGTGGTAGGTGACAATCTCACTGTCGAGAACTTTCTCAAGACTGTTAACCTTCTGCTGAACAAGAGATATCTTGTCAGCAGCAGCAACCACAGCCATCTCCCCCTGGTCCATTCCCAGTCCCTCCTTGGTGGGTCTGCAACAGCAACTGCAGCCATCTCCTCCTGGTCCATTCCCAGTCCCTCCTTGGCGGGTCTGCAACAGCAACCACAGCCATCTCCTCCTGATCCGTTCCCAGTCCCTCCTTGGCGGGTCTGCAACAGCAACCACAGCCATCTCCTCCTGATCCATTCCCAGTCCCTCCTTTGCGGGTCTGCAACAGCAACTGCAGCCATCTCCTCCTGGTCCATTCCCAGTCCCTCCTTTGTGGGCTGCAACAGCCATCTCCTCCTGATCCGTTCCCAGTCACATCAATTCTCATTTGTTCTTGTATTCAAGTACATTTTAACACTAATGTAGGTGAGTTAGTTGTTCGGCATTCACAGATGTACTAACTCACCTTTACTCTACCACTCCGCAGGCGCTCAACATCACACCAGGTCATGAATGGCCTCGAGTGTCTCTTGATCCAGGCAACCGAAGACTGCCTTCACCCCCCTCCAAAAACCAATCCGAGTCCTCCCTTGCCCTTCAATATCTGAGCGTCTCACTTCATTACGCCTCCCCCGAATGTAATAAAGGTTTGTCATCACTATTGGCCACTGATGCTCTTCGAACCGGACTCGATGCTATCGATCACATCAGCGTCTGCATCAATCCACGTACGAATGTATGTACCATATCAGCAAGCGTCATTTTTCAGAATGGTGAGCAAGTTGTTTAGAGTTGAAATTTTCAGTCACTGACAATGTTCTCACATGTCCAGTCCCATACGTGCCATGACTACTAGAACTTAAGTCTCATTCGCAAATGTTCGAGGAGTAGTTATTCATAGTTGTAAAATTCTATTTACTTGTAATCTACGACACACTTTCATCCTCCTTGCTTTTGGCACTTGTTGCACTTGTGGGCACTTGTGAATCACGCATTTACTTGTGAGTGCTTGTGAAAGAAAAATGACAAGTGCATAAGAATAATAAGCGGCAACATGTTGAAGATTTTCATGACAAGTGGCGAAAAAGGATGTTAAGGAGTTTGTGAATTTACTGATGTATTGTTAAAAATGGAGTAGTTCTCGACGAAGATGATTCAGACATGAGAGTTGCTTGGAGGCGCAACTTCATCACCAGTTGCCGACCCTGCAGTTGAACTATATCCAATTCCCGCACTGACTCTAGCTTATGATTAGCAAAGTAAAGAGACAGTAGGCAGACATAATATTCTTATACTTCATGATCATCAGTAAAGGGATTTCCACCAGGAAATAGGTCCCCTTGGGATGCAATGAAATTCACAGTGTCGATGAAAAACGAAGCTGTGGATTGATCCAATGGTGACTCCAGTGGAACAGTGATTCCACTAATATGAGCATCAGATGGTAAGTCATCATCTGTATAAACATTAACTTCGGGCGATCCAGTAGAACAAGCAAGAAGTTGCAGACACTGTACATTCTCAACGTCTGTTGACACAACAGAGAGTAGTTGTCTTCTTATCTTCTCCGATGTAGTCTGCAGAACCATCTGCATCAGGTTTTATATCAAACAGGCAGGCTGGTATTACCCTAGTAGCCGTGTACAACTCCTTCACTGCTTCAGAAAGCAACCGAGTTGAACAATATGCCAAGAATAATTTCACTGGGTTGAATGATTTCTTCTGCCTCTGCAGTTCCTCCCTTTTTAAAACCAGGCTGAAATACAACAAATCAGGAATTTGGCATGAGCATCTGTGCAAAGAGATATACGTGTCATATGAGGCCTTCGTCTCGGCAAGTAGGTCTTGGATCTTTTTCTTATCGGTAGCCATCTGGTGTATCTTGAGTACTTCATCCAGCATAGCTTCAAGGACAATACTGATCTGGCCAAGAGTGCTTGTATCCTTCACTCTCATGACAGGGAAGATAGATGGATCATATTGAGCAGGTGTGCCAAGATTAACAGGAATGAGAAAAGTTTGACGTTCTGACTCAGAGGGCATAATTTCCTGTGTGATTGAGGGATTAATCAATTAAACACCAATCCTATCTTGTTGATGACTCCTACATTTAAGTACTTGTGCAGATGAGGTAGTTGTCATGTAAATAAAATGCTGAAAATAAAACAGATATGCGTGGCTTTTGGTTTCTGGGGGTCCATCATAATTGTATGTAGACATTATCATGATCATATGAGCATTAGATTGAAGGTACTTGCTTGTGCTTTGTCGGAAATTTCAAGCCTTCCATATCGGGACACCATTTAGTGGGCACTTGAAAGAGGCTATCATTGGGCTGTTGAGTTGGAAGTATCTCAGGACCTCAGGTAGATTCTTCGAGGGCTTCGTGTGAAAAATTGACGGTCCTTTGCAGTCTGAAGAGGTGGCACTCTCGTTGAGTATCTACTACAGATAGAAGTGTTAGTTGTATTAATTAGCTACTGATCAGAATAAGCTGAAGTCACTGGACACGATAACTGGCAGCAAGGCAAGTATGTTGCCAGAATGGTTGTAAAATTATGGTTGAAACTAAGACTGCAAAACTGACAAGAGGAGTTGGGATGAGGCCTCAAAATATGGCACAAATCCCACGCAATGCTAGCCAGTTTGGACTAGTCTAAACTTAACAGTAAGGTGAGAAAATTGCAGTCATCCAAGCTCAGAGTCTGCAGTACACTTGCACTGCTCAAAAAGTGTCGGCAGCTCAATGAGTCTACTGTTCTAATTCTGAGTGTTCGTAATCACATGTTGGCACTTATTTATTGTTTGCTGCGACTACGTGGACATTTGCGACTCAATCTGCAGTCACATTCGTGATTTTAAATATAGTATTTTTCGATGAGCTGACTCGGACGAGGCACTTCTTATATGTAGTACCTGAGTTAAATAGCGTGGTCAGCCAATTCAAAATTGTTTATTGTTTGCTGTCTTTCTCAGTAAATATTGCTATGTTTACAGTTGGCAATTTATGAGTTAAAGAGGAGGCTACTAGCTTACTAGAATTTCCAACAGAGCCTTATCATGATAGTTGCCGAGGTTGAGTATAAATTTAAATTATAAAGGCTTACTAATTGGGCAACCCAAATGGGTAGTACACATATTGATTTGGCCTTGGTTCAACATGACTGGTTATATTTCAACCCAACTCCAGGCAACAAGACTTTGATGGAGAAGAATGCGAAGACGAAGACAGAATGCAAAGCTGCAGAGGCAGTGGAATTTGAGAGACTCGAGGCTCTCAGGGCTCAAAGAGAGTTCGAAGCTTTTGGAGCGGAACGCGAACAGAGACCAGGAACTTTGACTGTATACGAAGTTTGGTGGTGTCAACAATACCAATGGCTAAAGGGTAAAGGGTACTTACTTCAACCTCAGTACGCTCCGGAATGGGTACCATCATGGGAAGGCTTATGGTGCCACCCTTTTACTTGTGAAGATGGTAATATTTCAAGAGTGAGGCACACAAGAGTACTGCATTGCTAAGTAGCTGACAATTCTATAGTATTCTCATGTCATCGATGCGACTCGCATGTCTGATGGCTTGTACATTTCTCTTAAAGTGGTCAACAAATTGGACCACCCTCATGAAGTAGATATTGAGCAATATTTTATGATGGAGCACCTTGTCTCCAATCCCAAGAACCATTGTGTTCCATTGCTCGATGTATTATCAGTACCTAACGAGGATGAAAAGCAAATTCTCGTGATGCCTCTGTTGCTTGATTTTACGAAACCTCGGTTCGACACTGTCAGTGAGGTTGTGGAATGCCTGAGACAGTTATTTGAAGTGAGTAAGATTGCTTCTGAATGTGATATCATTCTAGTAATGCGATCACAGGGCTTGTTGTTCATGCACACTAACCACATAGTGCACCAGTAGGTAGTGTAACACAATTGTCTCATGTGCTTAACTTTAAACTCATCATAAGACAAGGGACTGCATGTCAAGAAATATCATGATGGATGCCAAAGACCTCTACCATGAACCTTATCACCCTGTTCAGCCTCACATGAAGCGCGACTTCAGTGGCTATGTCAAGCATTTTACTCAGACCCAACACCTGCCAAAGTACTACCTAATCGACTTTGGTTTGTCACGCCAGTACGACGCCACCGAGGAAAACCCACTGGAGTACCCCATTTTGGGGGAGATAAAACAGTGCCAGAACTTCAGAAGAATGCCAACATTCCAATGAATCCCTTCCCCACCGACATCTATTATCTCGGAAACGTCATCAGAGAACAGTTCTTGTATGTGAGTAGCTACAAATCTCATTACCTTGGGTTTGTCGCTTATGACCCCAACGAAGGCCAGATCAGGGCTCGAATTCTTGAAACCTCTCGTTGACAACATGGTGCAGGATGATCCTAGCGGGAGACCTACCATGGAAGCGGTAGTTGAGCGGTTTGACTCGATCCGTCAAAAACTCAGCACATGGAAACTGTGTTCTCGTGTCATTTCTGTGGAGGATGGCCTTCTGGAAAACATGTATTATGGAACCACACACTGGCGGCAGCGCATCGGTTTAATTGCCAGGTGTGTTTCAGCTGTACCTCGCCCTTCCGATTGAAATGTGCCTCGCGCGATATACACATTGGATACATGTGAGTCTCAAGATGCAGTGCAAAACACTCTTGGCTGAGGATATGAAGAAGTCTTGGCCAAAATCGCCGGTTGTTCTTATATCCACGTATGATAGGTGTTGCTCTTCGCTGTTGTACGTCATTCCCGACATATTTGAGCACAACTATTATACTCAGTCTGTAAGGTTGCGAAGGTCCATGAGCGAGTCCCGTGCCTTCAGGAATAACACATCTCTGCAATGCAATCATCCCTGTCCCCCGCTGCACTCACTTCTCATTGTTTCATACTGAAGACTGTTAATCTAGACAGTATCAGTCTCTATAAGTGATATGTGAGTAATCTAGGTACGGCATGTTGATAACAAGCGACTTACCCTCAGTCAGATGTAACGGACTGAGGGAAGGGGGGAAAGATGACAGGTAAGATACATATACATTGTCCATGGTTGGTATTCCAACCTCTCAACTCCGCAAGCCATGTTCGTATCGTTCACGTGCACGTCATGTGTGCTAACACTCCTCCTCGATGCAAACATGGTGGACACTCCTCCTCAACTGATTCAACAGAGGCCAAGATAGGTGCGCAGATGTTTCTCCAAGTGTTCAGTAGCATGATGTGCGACTAGGAACGACCTTAACACCGCACACTAGTAACCCAATCAATACAGAATTTACATCACATCAACAAGTGTACTCACTGGCACCGGAAGCACACTCAGATCGGATGTTCACGGTCACGCCATCCACTACAGTGCCGGGGCCAAAGTATGTGATGCGCTCCCACTTCCTGGGGCGAGTTATTTGAGAGGAATAGGGGAGCATTGTATCCTAGAGGACTGATCAGCATACGACAGTAACAAGGCCAGAAATGTGTCACCCACTCGCTCCAGTTGCATTATTCGAGTCGAAATTTATAGTCAATGACCCAACATATGAGTTAGAATCAAAATAAACACAGTCTTTGTCTTCGCCCAGTGGTTCATGTTAGTGGTGGCCAGGTCCGGTTCTGAACCGCGGTTCGAACCTGAACCTTTCCGAACCTGACCAGTGTCCAGTTCAAGGTTCGGGCAACAGGTGGAACCGGACCATTGGTCCAGTCCTCAGTTCGAGGACGATGCAGACTTACAGAACTGGTTCAGAACCGGTTCGAACTTGTTTGAACTGTTAGTAGTAAGTCTTTGAATTAGTAAGAATAGATCAAGTGATCTGCACTTACTTTGACAGATTGTTGATATCATGGACTCATCTGCGACTCCGATGCCTTGACGACAACACTTCAGATCCTCAATCAATGTTTCAAGGTCATTTATCAAACAAACTGACATTTTTTCAATCAATAATCATGGCGCCGGCTTAAAGCTGGAGGGCATGAGTTCTATGGTGAGCTTGACCACAGTTTCCCGCCCACAATCATGACTGACCAGTGTGCTGTTGGCGCTGACGGCAATCTCAAAGATGCATCCGAAATTGTGTGGCACAACAACCCAGATGACGAGTGCCCTCTACCTGCCCCTGGTCGCACCACCGAAAAATCTACTGCCCCAGTGCACCATTTCTTTACTGGTGCTCGACGTAGCACTCGAGCACCAAGACCTTCGATGAAAATTGTCGACCCTGACAATGTTGCCTCATCGAGTTCAGCCCGGAGCAAGCGAAAGGCTGTGGACAGTGGTCCAGGGACCAGCCGGCGAGTTGCACGCAAGGTAATTCCAGCTTCCAGTGCTTCTAGTGATGATGCAGGCGATTTGGATGGTGAAGATGATGCAGAGTGCACAGAGGATGGTGCGGCAGAGGATGGTGCGGAGGCTTTGTATGCACAAACTAAGGCTATGGGGGATGCGGATCGTGAGGCAGGCAAGACTCGTCTCAAAAGCGAACGTACTGCAGACGTTCGCACCATCTTCATCAAAAAGGATGACGGGTCCGAGTCTGGACATGTTTGCACCATCTGCGAGTGAGTTTTAACAATCATACTAATATTGCCTTTACTTACCTGACTTGGTTCTGTAGAAAGAATGGTGTCCCAGCTCACCATTGCTTCTTCAAAGGAGGTATGTCAACACTTCGTACCCATATCGCTAGGCGGGTGCCATATCTTTGCTGACTAAGTACTATTGCTGATGGAGCGGTGTTGTAGGCATCCTGACCACTTTGCTGTTTATCAAGCACGCTGCAAGAATCTGCAAATCCCTATGCACACATGAGCATGTCCAAAGCGTGATGGGACTCTCCAAAGGTAAGTTTATTCTGTAATCTACTTACTACATACTCATTGTGTAATTCAGTCAAAAAAGTCTTGATGGCATTGTAGTTCATCAGCCTCGGGCACCCGTTTTCACTACCAGCAGTCTTCTCGACTACATTGTCGAGCTGGTTGTATGCGAAGACAAGGTAATTCAATTGTTCATCGTTCAAATCATGACACGCGACTAGCTAAATCATACAGGCATTCCAACTGGTGGACAAGGGACCATTTTGGCACTTGCTGACATACGTCCGACCAACCTTGTCTGACAAGGATATTCCGCACCGAAAGGCCCTTCGCGAGGAAATCATCAAGAAAGCCAAAGCTACTGAAGTGCACGTCAAGGAAATTCTCAAGGTATGTACTTGTATTATTTCACGAGCCCTGAGTCCTGACAGTGTGGTGCAGGATATACCTGGCAAAGTCTCATTCACCTTCGATGCTTGGACTTCGGATCCTGGTGACCCTTTTCTTTTGGTAACTGGTCATTATATACATGCACCACCTGAACGTCCTAACGCCTGGAAACTCCAAACCGAACAACTTGCCTTTGCTCCAATGGAAGGACGGCATTCAGGAGCCAATATGGCCAACTTGCTCACACGAACTGTTGACCGCTATGGTCTCCGCAAAAAGGTTGGTTGGTTCTCGTGTGATAACGCTGCCAGTAACGACACATGCCTCGCGGTGTTTGCCGACACTATCAACACCAACAAGAAGTCCGAGTCTGATGTGCAGAGGTGGGATCCAGTAGAAGGTCACATCAGGTATGATTTTGCCTCGTCATTTGGTGCATTTATCACTCACTCAATACCAAAGATGCATGGAACACACTATCAACCTTGCTGCGGGACATTTTCTCATGGCTGTCTCACCAACATCCAGCTGCACACTTCTAAAGAAAATCAAGGCGGCAGTTAAATGCTCGGATATTGATTTTGATGCTTTAGATGTCGGGATTGATTATGAGGGAGCGGAGGGAGCGGATGAATGTGAAGAGGATGATGACAAGGATAATGAATTTGGAGTCGGTGACTCAATTGGTAAGGCTCTTGTGCTTGTGAAACAGGTTCGTTGACTTCCATCTGACAATACATTCTACTAACTATTGTTTATAGATCCGTGCATCACCTCAGGCCCCCGCATTCTTTGCACAGTTGTGTAAACAAGCAGATGTCCCTGTTCTGGAGCTTACACAATGGATACGGACTCGGTGGGCGTCCATGCACAGTTTTATCACCCGCATGTTGTTACTTCAAAAGGTATGTCTCTCATATGTTGCACGTCCATGAGCTCATTGTTCTTTATAGGGTGTCAATCTTTTTGTCGAGCTCGTGGACGACAGCGAGGAAGTCCCTGGCCTCAAAGGCAAATGTTATGCGGACTTTCATCTTGACAAAAAGGACTGGGAGAAATTGAAATTGGTGCACAAAGTTCTTCAGGTATGTGTATCTAGTTCTACCAGCTGTACTTATTACTAATACTTGCACAGGAACCAGCGAGCGCCACACAAACATTTTCCAGTTCATCCAATCCTTCTGTCTGGCGGACAATTCCAGTCCTCGAGTTTTTGCAGAAGTCCTGGGAAAATATGGCAGCCCTTCCTCGATTCTCACAAGTCCGCGATGCTATTCTCAAGGGATTGAACAATGTTGCAAAGTGGTATGACAAAACAAAAGCTATTAATGCATACTTTATTTGTCTAGCACTCGATCCTAATGTCAAGGTTGCCTATTCCGAGCATCAATGGGATACGGAATCCTTCAAAGTCGGTCTCAAAGATCTCGAACGAGTGGTATGTTTAATATTTGTTGACCATTGAAGCCAATATTTGCTGACATGTTTCAATAGTTTGACGAGTACTATACTATTGCCCCCGTCTCAGCTCCTGTGGATGCAGACGTCGAACAAGCACCACCTGGGCAAGCGCAATATGGCCATTCCTGGGTCCTTGCTGCTGTACAAGCACGTCAAGCATCTGATCGCACCCAGCTTAGGCCTCGTGCTGAACTTACTGCATACCTCCAGAGTCCGCTTGAGCAGACAGAGGATGTTGTGGGTTGGTGGGGTGTAAGTCTTTTTTCTCATCATTGCGAGTTCATTTACATTAACTTCATACAGCACCATCAGTCACAATTTCCGACACTTTCACACATGGCCCGAGATTATTTAGCCATCCAGGGTAGTAGCACAGCATTGGAGCGTGCCTTTTCAAGTGGTGGACTAACAGGAACAAAATGACGGAACCGTCTCAACAAGGATGTATTCGAGAACTTGCAACTGTTGAAGAGTGCATACCGCAATGGCCACATCTCTGCCACTAGTGATGCCAAGCAACATCTGGATTCATTGATTGCTGCACTCCATGACAACACAGATGACGAGGATGGTGAACTGGTCTAGTACTAGTAGTAGCATTTAGTATTGGTACTTCTGTTGTCAGGCATGTTTCGTTTATATGATTTTTCTTGATGAAATTTTCATTATTTTGGATGGTTTGGTTCTCGGTTTGAACCCTCGCTGAACCAGAACCAGACCATTATTGGACCGAACCGATGGTCCAGTCCATGGTTCTGCTCACTGGGAGAACCGAACCTATGGTCAGGTTCGTGGTTCTCAGAATTTGCCTGAGAACCGGACCGAACCGGACCTGTCCATCACTAGTTCATGTGGACTATCCTGAGCCAGGAATCGTGCTGTGTGATGTCAGTGTTGAACTAGGGTAAGAACATCGTGTCCTCAATGACAGCGACAATGAGTAGCGCTTACCCACAGTTTCTGGTGATACCGGGCTGCCCTGTTCTGAAGCTGGTGAAGTGACAAAAAAAACTTGAATAATTTCCAGAAGAAGTATTTCCAGAGGGAAAACATGAAGCGACGGTATGAGGCTGGTGATATGGTGAATTATTGAGTGTGTTGATGGGGGCGTCTATTTCTAACCAGATACTTATATTTCTGCAAGACTGGCAAGAAAATGCCGATAGCGGCCTCGAATTTGAAGAACAATGACACCCAACTTGAAAAAGATATTAATAGCTCCTAACTTGATCGTAGCGCCGCTGACGCGCCAGTTCTCGACTCCGGCTCTCTCCTATTTTCTGCCAATGAATCGCACTAACAAGCTGCATCGCATTCTAAGAACCATCAAGTTTAAGGCAGGCCCCTAAATCAATCTTTGATACAGAACTGTCAACATGCGGTCACTAAACACATTTCCAGCTGCTTCAAGCTATAATACTCTTCAAGCGTTTAGTAGACTCATGTGCGGCTAGGAACCACCGTATCAACGGAATGCTAGTAGTACAATACAATACAGAGTTTATATCACATTAACATGTGTACTTACTGGTGCCAGAAGCACGCGGAGATCGGACGTTCACGCGCACGGTCGGGCTACCCACTACAGTGTCAGGACCGAAATACATGACACGCTCATGCATTATGGGGTGAGTTATTTGAGGGGGATAGGCTATTGAAGACGGTGGTCGCTGTGACCAGAACCTGTCCTCGGGAGTGTTATATGCTAGAGGACTGATCAGTATATGACAGTAACAAGGCTAGAAATCTGTCGCCCACTTGCTCCAGTCGCATCTTTTGAGTCGATAATAAATGTAGGTACTGGTCGTGGTGGAATTGGACTGAAGTGACAATATTGGCACCGTCAGAAAATGGGTTTTCAGGAGTGGCACTGCCTCCTGTACCGTCAGAGTATCATCGCCTGTGATTCGATAAGGATTGAAACGTTGACAAATCTGTCGAGACGCTCCATCCACACATTAAATTTGGTTGCCTACTTACGAAAAACAAACAGCAAGGGATATCACGATAACTAGGTATACAGCATTACAACTTAGCCTTCGCCTTGACTAGCTTGGCCATCCCGTCGATAATCTCTTCTGCCTCCTTCTCCATGCGCGATAAGAGCTCTTCGCACGTTGGGATATCCTTGATCAAGCCAAGTACAAGACCTGCAGTCCAAATCCCATAGTCGGCATCACCGTTCTCGAATACAACTTTGCCTCGTGCGCCCGAGACAAGGTCACGGACGTCTTCAAACTTGGCCCCGCCTGGCCGCCGCTCGATAGCAACGACTTGCTGGGAGACTACATTCTTGAAAACGCGTGAGGTGTTGTTCAAGGTACGGAATATGTGAGTGGTATCATATTCGGTGGAGGCGACAATTTTCTCTTTGATGTTGTGGTGGATAGGGCTGGATAGCGTGAGTGAGTAAATATTAAGTTATAGTGCAACTGCCGTACCTCTCGACTGTGCACATGAATCGTGTGCCCATGTTCACTCCCTGCACGTACAGGTGATCAATAAGATTATGGTATGGGAGCTACAGTACTCACAGCGGCACCAAGTGCGAGACAAGCAGCCAACCCACGGCCATCTGCAATTCCGCCCGATGCGATGTATGGTATTTTGAGTTCTTGAGCGGCTCTTGCAAGCTGTAAATTGTCACTATATAATGATAATCATAACCGGTGATAAAGCGCACCAGAACAAGGCCACCAATGTCCTCCTCTCCAGGGTGACCAGCACCTAACAACACTGTCACAATCAAATTCAAACAAGTAGATGAGGGACTCACATTCGAAACCGTCGATACTCAGAACGTCAACGCCCAGTCGTTCTGCGGACTACATGACCCGCTTTAGCATATGAAAAATACATCTTAGTCTGATTAAACGGGGAGCGAACCTTGGCGTGTCGAATCGTGGTGCACTTATGTATCACAATGCATCCATGTGACTTAAAGAACTGGATGAGCTTTCCCGCTATGAGTTGTGTCAGAATCATTGTAACTGATGAGAATGAGACTACGCACGACTGTTTCCTGCTGTTTCAAATATCTTGACGCCTTCCTCTACAGCTACACGCGCGAAACCTTCATAATCTGGTGGGTTAATCGAGGGCAGAATCGTGATATTGACGCCAAAGGGCTTGTCAGTTGCT